TGCTGTGTTGCCTAAGAAAGCATCTCAGAGATGTATGGCTTCGTCTAACACTCCGTTGTTGGATCAGATTGAAGGATTCCCTACAAATTGCCCTCGCTGAAACCATGGTCTGCCTTTGCCCTGCCATAGATCAGCGACCTTACAAGGTGTACCTAAATTTTTTATACTAAACGCTCCGCTATTCAATTGCCTAGAGCTACGCAAAATTTGGCGCGGCTACACTGCACCGTTTGGAAACCATTCTGGAAAAACCTTCGGGGGGTCAATTTGACCCCCACCCGAGCGCTTGTTAAGTCGCATAACCCGGCGCTTTGCGTGTCCAGGCAACTTCCGGCTCAAGACTTCATTATTGGAATCCCATGTCATGATACGACCATATATTACAAGGCCGAGTATATTGATCGCTCTGCCATCAAGCACGGTTACAGATTTGAATGGGAATAGTTTGGCGTGTATGAGGTTGCAAAGTATGACGGCGACGGACGCTGATCATAATTATTTCGAGGTGAAGACCTTCAGGAGAGCTGGTTCCGTACCTGCCGGAAGTTGGGCCAAACCACTTACTCTTAAGGGCTGTATGAGCCAAACGTCTGAACATCGCTTTGCTTAATTGGCGTCATCACGATGACATCGCTTCAGTGTGATTCATGACGTGCATTGTGTTGAAGACAGCCTAATTGTGTGCTGCGACCCGTGATGATCTCATTTTCGGTCGTATATCATGCTATAAAAGATGATGATGCGAGCCTGAGCAAATCCATTCAAATGCAGTCATCGCCGGAGCGAACGGCGGACGCGTTCTTTTTGCAATGCTCCGAATGGTAATACGATTCGCAGTGCAGTCAACCCTCTCGCGGTGGCGGCGCGACCGCGAGAGCGGCGAGAGCGGTGGCGGCGCGACCCGACTTCGCCCTAGCCGGCGCTGGGTGACCTGTCACTGACCTCGGGACGCACCGCGGGGCACCGGCGACCCGATCCCCAGCCGGAGCAGGGGGACCTGTCACTGACCTTGGGACGCGCCCTGGGGCATCGGCGAGCCGAGCCTCAGCCGGAGCAGGGTGACCTGTCACTGACCTTGGGACGCGCCCTGGGGCATCGGCGAGCCGAGCCCCAGCCGGAACAGGGTGACGGCCAGCGCCAGCAGGCCCGCCCGGCCGACCATCACAGCGGCGGTCAGATCAGCGGCGCATGGCGCGCGGCACCAGTGGCTGGCCCTGCTCGGCGGCCCGACCCCGGCCGACGCCCGGCCACCGACGACTGCCGCCGAGGCGGGCCGGCAGCCGCGGCCGTCGGCGTCGACGACCCGCGCGGCGGCAGGCGGGCGCGGGGTCGCCGCGTCTGGGGGCGGTCCTGACAGAGGGCGACTTCGCGGCGCGCGCCTGGCCGGCTCGTGTCGCCTGGCTGGTGCCGTGCACGCAAGCAAGAAGTTTGCAGTTTGTTTGGCGGCAGCATCCGTTGGTGGCCGGTATTGGCGCGCACCACGCAAACCCAGGGCCGTGACATTCGGGCTGCCGACTTCGTGACTGGACGCAGCAACTTCGGTAGGGTCGATAAGGGTTCGATGCCGCAATTTGATTTTTTTCAACTGCAATGCAATGCTCAATGATGCGATAGAGGCTATGCCGTAATGTAATCAACACATGCTTATTTTTCGTTCATGTATACATACACTGCTACGTTTGCCGTTATATAGCAGTGTACGAAAACATCCGATCACTCAGATGTTGCGGGGATGGCCAAAATCGCTGCCAGTCGTCGACAAATTTATCGGTGCTCTGTTCTCATCATTAAATCTGGTCACCGGCTTTAAACTGTCTCAAATCCAGACTTACATTTTTCCTGCTCGTTTTTGTCCGCATCCAGTCGCCAGTATCTAGAGATATATAGGGTTATGGCTTATGGCCAATGCTTTTGATGCTGAAGGCGTCACGTTGTTGCACACTTTATGGCGACCGTCGAAACTGCAAATTCTCCGTGTCGCTGCTGCCAGGGGTCCCCAGCTCCGACCATTTCATTATTTCTCCGGTGGCGCTCTCCGCAGTCGGACCGTTTGTTTCTTTTACGTGCCCCGGAGGCCTCCACTACTGGCTGATGAAGGCCGAATGATCTTGGCGCGACCATTTCGTGCCCGTCAGCTACGAGGCAGTGGAAACGGCAGCGGTGTGGCATGATAACTCATATCAGTAGAAAGTCTGGTACTGGCTGTATTATCAGGCGCATGGTCTTAAAGAGACTGATCCTACGACAACCTGCGACAGGCAACTAGTCGGTTCCATGATCTCTTCGCTGATACAACACTCATGCCTAAGGATATGAGCTTCTTCTTTGCAATATGCCGTTCATGCGTTGTTCGGCGCTAACTCATGAACTGACGGCATGGTAAAAGTGACGTTCCTGAGCACAAAACTACTCGCCGTTGCCATTTCGAGGTCCGTCGGAACGCGGTGACGTGCGGTCGATCAATTCATGTAAAGTCCAATGCACGCGATCCGTGCTTCGCACCGAAATAGTGATGAATGGGTTGCGAATATAAACGCATCGAGCACGTGCGGCGGCATTCATGCCTCCCGGCGGAAAAAGAAACACGATTACCGACCGCCACGGCGGAAGCGCATGTCGATTGCGTCTGCCGCTCCACAAAGCAATTACATCGGCGCTGATGCGTTTGTGGGCACTGACAGCCAAATGTGTCAGAGCACGTTTGCTCTTGCCCATCCATTTCCGTGTCGCAGCGTGATGCCGACGTGGAGCCGCCACGTCCTTCCGTTCATACGGCCTGTTTTGGACATCGTCGAAGTTCGACTTTGATCCTTACGGCTCTCGTTTTGTAGGGCGGCCGGAATGCGGATGTCCCATTCGGTGACACAACGGTATAGACGCGTGCGGGCCACGGGGAAATGATTTGCAGGTCACCTGGTGTGCGGGTCATTTCATGTTTGGGAAGTTCTGGGTCGACATTTGGTGCGGGGTGGCGCTGCCCAGCGTGGGCGTGTCGAGTCTTCCGTGGCGTGGTCGGCAACGAAATTAGAGCGCAGAGCAAATTAGCTCAAAATGAGGGGGCGACAAGGAAGAGATAGCTGGAGGAAATGGGGAAAGGCTTTTAAGGCGATTAGGGACTGATGAGGAGAATTCTTAGTCAACATTGCATCTAATGTTTATGGCGCACAAGGTTCTCTTTTGGTCAAATAAATTAACAATGTATTTCACGACACCGGTATAATTTAGCCCGCAAAATATCTTGCCTCTGACAGTGCTGTCAACCTACCATTTTGTGTCCAGATTGAAATTGGGCAAATCACACGTATTCATTGTTTGCGTCGGGAAAACAGGGGCTCTGGTGACCCGACGGGACCGGCGCCGGTTCCGACAGCGGCGTCGGCAGGGCCCGCCCTGCGGCGGGCAGGAGCAGAGGCAGCGGGCAGCGGCGCTGCGGGCAGCGGGCCGCGGCGGGCAGGTGCTGCAGGACGCGCTGCTTCCTTCCCATGTGGGATGGGGCTCAGGCAGTGCCACATGTCGCGTGTCGGGGGTGCTCGGTCTGCCTCCGTTGTGTGGTAGCTGCTGTGTGAAGGGTCATACTCGAATTACGCTGATTACACATGGTCTGACCTTCAGGGGTCAGTCAGGAGAGGATTACAGCCAACCGGAGTGCAGTGGCTTCCAAACGAATCCTGAAAACATTTGGTTTGAATGGGCCCCTTTTGCGCTACTGCTGGTGCAAATGCAGAGGCATTGCTTATGCATTTTGCATGGGCGCTTGTCGTCTGCTTTATTATTTACCTCGTCCGCGCAGCACGATGAAACGCAAATGTCGCAAAAGAACCGCAATAACAGCTGAGCATTGGCTGCGGCAAACTGCGAGTTCAATTGCGCACCATGGCTCGTGACTTTCATTCAACGCTCCTGACTGAAATTCTGCAGGCTTTCCCCGCGCAAGCATTATTTTGAGGCATCGATCGCATTGTTCTCGTGGGCCTTTATTTGGTCTCTTCTCTCATGGAGATGATGGTATGACGTTAAAACGGAAATCCATAGCACCTGTTTATGAAGTCCTCGTCGATCGTTCGACGGCTCTGAGTCTGTTCCTTGTAATTAAAGGACGTCCAGCATTCTATAACACGTAAAATCAATGGGTATAATGGTTGGTTTAATAGTTTCGCATGTCCGAAAGACCACTCTCCTCTCCTCTCTCTCCCTCCCTCCTCTCTCTCTCTCCCCACTCTCTCCTCTCTCTCTCTCTCTCTCTCTCTCTCTCTCTCTCTCTCTCTCTCTCTCTCTCTCTCTCTCCTCTCTCTCTCTCTCTCTCTCTCTCTCTCTCTCCTCTCTCTCTCTCTCTCTCTCCTCTCTCTCTCTCTCTCTCTCTCTCTCTCTCTCTTTCGGATTCTATCTTCATCTGTGTACTCCGCTCTAACTGTTATTCTCATTTTCCATCTACCCGTGTAACTCTTCGTCACTTTCCAGCATTTTACGAATGAATTACTCCTACATACATAAATCCGCCTGGGCTTAGGCCGTTAATTGATGCGCTAAGTTAGTCGCTGTTAGCTCGCCGTGATCCAGATTTTCCACCTTAAACTGCTATGCATTTTTGGAGATTACGATCGACGACAAAATTCGCGGAGGGCATCTCAAAACCGACCGGGGGAAACGAGCAGGGGACTGACTTGCAACACTCCGAACCTTCCGAATTTGCAAGGTTACGCTCCTAGTACCCGCTGCATCGAAGTCCCACTGCCATACAATGACCGGGGTATGTTGAACCACCAGCAGGATGGGAACCGCCACCCGACGGCTGGTCGCCTCCGGCGGCGGGCCACGTCGCCTCGCGTGACGGCCCGCCCCACTGCACCTGCCCCGCTCCAGTGCGCCCTGCAGCCAGCGCCGGCCCGCCCCGCGGGGCGGAGCGGGAGCGGGGCGGGAGCGGGAGCGGGGGACCCCGCCCAGCGAGCGGCGGCAGGAGGGCCGCTGCCGCTGCCGGCCGCGCTCAGTGTCTCCCCGTCGTCGCTCCGAGCCGCCACGTGACGCCATGCTCCGCGTGCGCTGCCTGCTGCTGGTGTTGGCCGCATGTGCGGCGTGTCTGCAGGCGTTCCCGAGCGGCGCGCCTGTCGAGGCCTGCCTGAGGGGCATGACGCCCAACCACGGCAACTCGCGCTCGGATGACCCCGGCTCCAGCCCGTTCGTCGTCACCCGCCGGACGCGCCGCGACAGGGTCGAAGGTGAGGGCGCCGCCCCGGCCCGACGGCAGCCGGACCGGCGAGGCCGTCTCGAAAGCTGACGCCGCGGCGCGTGCGTGGGAGGCTGCAGGGCAGTGTTGTTCGACAGCGCTTGCCTGGACCTGAGAGCAGTTGACCCGGCTGCTGTGAGGGTGTCGGCCAACCCTGAATGATGCTGGGGTCGCACTATAAGGCTAGCCCATGCAGCTCGACCAACTCACTCACAGCTCACCGCCTTCATTTATCGGTGACAAGACTACAGAAGTTATCTGTCAACGCATAGATCCCACAAGATCTGTGACCTTGAGATGCATAAGCAACCGAACATTGCAATTAAGCGAGCCGTCAGAACGGACATTCGAAATGTAGGCATGTGGCGCATGAATAGTGTCGTTCCATCGATTTTATATCGCACTTCCAACTAGTCTGAAAGCACGCAAACGGGGCCAACCCACTCAACCTCAGTATCTTGAACCGGACAAACTAAATGCCTATTTCACCTTCATCGGCACAGCAGCCCGGGACAAAGTTATCAAGGATTTCCATCAGTCGGGACCCAGAACAGGGAACATCCGTCACCGGCTTCAGTTTCAGGCTTCAGCGTGTCTATTTTTCGGTGCGAAAGGTGACAAACAACTTGAAACCTTGAAACTCCGCTTCGGCGTCATTGGTCGAGCGTTACTCCGCATCAGCAACGTCCCGGAAACCGTGTCTGCCAGCTGGAAAGTGTCGATGGGATATCGATTCCTAAAAAGAACGACCCGTCAGGAGCGTGGAACTTTAAAGTCACTCACACTGGCTCCAGCCATGTGTTAATTTATGACGAAGGCCGTTCGCCAGGGAGTCACGTCTCATCCGCAGCACCTGGGCCTTTTCATCGTTGAGCAGCAAAGACCCGAGAAAACCAGCCGACATGTACCGCCCCTCAAACTGTTCTGGAGCAATCTTGCGCAACGTGAACCAATCCGAAGTAGCACTTCTCACACTGATAGGTTTAAGCCGCTCTTTTGATGCGCGCCATTTTATCCGGGTCACAAATTTCCGGTTGTTACAGTCATCCGTCGGATGATTTGAGATCTATCTGAAAGGTCGCACGCAGAGAGTAAGATTGCAAATGCTGTTTAGTCCTGAAGGCATCATCATTTTGCTACTTTTCACGGCTTCTGTTTCGTCCCTTTGTTTCATAACATAACCAGCAATGACCTCACCCTTGTCATAATACCGCCTGATCTTAACGGCTTCCGTGTCAACGTAACCTCTTACGCTGACGGTGCGCCCGTCACCCTCACTGCACGCGGAGCAGGCTGTCAGATCTGCGGCAATCGTTGGAGACGGCCCTGGACACGGTGTACGCGTGGTACCTACGGCGTGGCATCGCGATCCACGTTGGTGTAACGGCACGTTTGCTCTGTGGAGACAGGCGCCAACGCAGCCAGCACTTGGTCACCCACCGTCCCGTTTTGAGAGGAGATACTATAATGTACAGAAAGTGTAAACAAGTAAGGCGTGATTCTGGGTCTTACGGTCCTGGGAGCTGCACGTGAACCATGCCAACTCAAGCGTCATAAGGATATCAAAACATCAACTTCTAATCGCCAGTTTGGAATCGCGTTCGCTCTCCGAAGCACCATTGACACGCTGCCTGTCCTGCATCGTGCATCTGCAGTGCATCTGCACTGTGCAGTCTGCATTGTAGATCAGCAGTGCATCATTGACGCGTTTGCCTTCCGACATGACCGTTACTGCACATGGGTTTTACTGGAGCGGCAACCGTCCCACCCTTGCCAGATTGCAGCCTTGCCGACTCTTGCAGGTTGAAGTGTCGTCTTTTGAATTCTAGTTTAAACAGGTATGGTTACTTGAGGTAAGTTTTTCAAACGTTGCAGCAGGGTGAAATCCAGGCCATGGAAACTTGACCATGTGTTGGATTTTCTACGACAGTTAAGCTGGCTTAATCCGCAAAAGCATCGTCGAGTTTTCTGTACGTGCCTTCACACAAAGGCTGGACTACGGAGAGCCTGACCTTACTTCCACAGTTTTCTTACACTATCAAAACACTGAGCGCAGTACATGACAACCCAATCGTTATCTCTGTATCGTTTACCTCTGCATCTTATCATCGTTATACTTCGTTTGCCCCGAAACAATCACGGCAAGCGAGGAGATGCTCGACGAACTGGTCGTACTTAGGAGGAGCCGATCATCAGCAAAGATATTACGGACGTGCTTTTTCCGACATTTCAACCCCTCATAGATGCCACCTTGTGACGTGTACTTCTGATTGACGATTTGTGAATGTTGACACACCTGTTGACAAAGGTCCGAGGATGGCCCGATTCATGTGGAATGACCAGATAAATGCAACACGATAAAGTAAAGCAAAATTGCGAAGAATGTCGGAAGGAAGACAATCGGGAAATGGGGTGCTGCTTTTTCTGCCTACCCACCACCTATGAGCATCTTACTTCCTTCCCCTTACTTCCTTCCCCGTCCTATGCAATTAGTGTCCCACACAAAGCACCATACGTTGATGCCCGCGTGATAAATGTAATATTGAACCCCCTACTACCTGCTATGAAAAGTGGAATAAAGCACGTAACCACGGCTAAATGCGTGTAGAGCAAGAGACACGATGTGAGGATCCTCGAAGTTTGCGGTGCTAAGTAATGACCGATATTAGTCAAAGGTGGTTAGCAAGAACTGGAAACTGGAAATCAAAATAAATGAGTCAGTGTCATGTATGGTGACTGCCAGTACAAGGAACATTGTCACCCAGGTTAGCGCATGACGAATCAATATGTGCCTAGTGCAATATCATGTTGTCGTGGGCAAAGGAAGACACTGATGTCATTACTGAGAAAGCCGACGCCCGCCCCCAAATAAGCAAATTAGTTGTCTACAGGGTGTGGGAGGTGCCGGCACAGTCATTACAGGGCATTAATCAATTTTCATTACTTCGCTTACATGTGTCGTCGCGTAACACACGTACTGTTACATGTGCTATTAGTGCGTGAAATAGTGGGGTCATAACCAAACTCACTTGCTGCCCATTTCTTATCACTCCCATCCACTCGTTACTACCAACCCGCTCACCCTTTTCCGAGGCATTGGCTGTAGATTATCGTGAAAACTTGATTCCTAAATAAGCTACTGTTTCTGCTTTAAATTAACGGTAACTGGAGCAGCTATGAGAGAAAGCGACACAACCAGCAGTTCAGCATCCTGACTCCCTGCGGCCCCCGTCTCATCGATGCAGGCTGCATGCATCAGCCCGGAGCGGTCTTCAGTGCCCTCCTGGCTGGGGCCCGCGCAAGCGGCCGCGTGCTCTAGAGAAGGCTGGTCCTGAAATGAGCATCGCTGGCTGAAACGGCTCGAATCCCAACCAAACTAGAGCCATGCTTGAGGCATCTCCGCGACGTGTATTGAAATTAGCATCGACACACACACTCACACCTCTATTTTCCCCAAATAGGTGCATAATCCGGCCCGTTACTTCCCATTTGTCGGTGTCCGTGGACTTACTGCATCGAACCCATCGACACCTCTCCTATCGTCTTTTCTCTCTGTCTACGCGAAATAAACGCTTCTCGATTTAAAACGGCGCTCGGCTCAGCACATCGCCCAACCTTGAACTTAACCCACGAGAGTATATGCAGCCGTCAGGTCACCACTGCCGTCAGGGCCAGTTACTGTCCTTCCCCACCTCTTCCGGCCACGTTACGAGACCCCACCCAATGACTGACGCGCTGGGCTGCCCCGAGTAGGAAAACCAGCTCCAGGAAAGTCCGGACAGGCCTGCAAACGAGTCGAACGGCGGTCTCCTATCTGTTTCATCTCATATGCACAATGCAATGTCTGCAGAAAGCCCAATATTGTTTGTACGTATGCACCTGCATAAAAGGGTTCATGCAACAGCACGTGTGCTGCTACCTGCCTATCAGATCGGCGCGCAGCAGGAAATCGGCGCTGGCCAAGCCGCTGTCACATTAGGCGTGTCCTGAGTCATGGCATGTCCCAGCGGGGGCCGAATGGGGCGGTCACGCGCGCGCCGTTGCATTGTTTCGTTGGGGCGTTACGCTGGCGTCGGAGCCACGATGGCGATCGACGGAAAACTTTGGCTTGGTATAAGGGTCTGCACGTGACCACATGGTGTGAGCGGCTCTATTCATATGCAGGCCATTCACTAAGGTCATGAAGAGTTGCTCTGGCTGCACACCGAATCACATTCAAACAGACGCCAACGCAATGCAAACTTCGTTATAACTTAGGCAATGTTTATATTGCAAAGTCGTGTGAAAGGCCTGCCGTGGCGTCCTCAGCCCCATGCCTCTTCGGAGGTGTCCCAAACTCGTCAGTCTGACGACAGAAGGTATGCTTAATGCTACTGGCAGGTTAAGGTCGTCTAGTGAAGATAGGGCTATGCAAATTCAGCCCATTGTTTTATCGGGAAGTACGCCGTTTTTGCAGACGCCAAGAGGGAGAGAGTCGGTCACCGATAACATCAGTGAGTATTAGCACGAAACAAGACAAGTTTTTACGCGTCAGCTTGCCTTGTTTTTCTCGTGTCGCAGAGTACAAGCACGAGGTTCATTCCATCTACGTGGGTGCCGACATCCCTGCGCTGCATGACTCGCAGCCCCGCTGGCATGAGCCCAGGTTTCACAACGGATTGCGTTGCAAGATGGCACACTGCCGAATGCCGCCTCGAATGCTGATCGCAAGTGCTGTGACGGGTGGTGCTCACCGTTCCGGCGAGCAAAGATAAGGTGCGGTCTGCGGCTTTCACGAGGAGTAACTCCTTTGCTTCCGCATAGGGTGTGCAGTGAAGAGCTGTAGCTGGTATTTTCGACGTCCCAACGCGTTTTGTTCCGTTGGTTACATTCCCCAAGTTCTCAGTGATACCATGCTGAAGGAGTCGGGCCTACCAGCAAGCTTTGAGGCACATTTTTTCAACAACGAGCCAAACATTTTAGTTTCATATGCGGCTGATCAGCGGCAGGCCTGATTAGCAGAGACCTCGCTGCAGAACTTCAAATGTCAAAACTTTTGTCAGCGAAAGAGCAGGCAAGTTGTTATAGTTGTTCACATCGACTTAGCCTATCAACTATATATATATATATATATATATATATATATATATATATATATATATATATATATATATATATATATATATATATATATATACATATATATACATATATATATCTATATCTATATCTATATCTATATCTATATCTATATATATATATATATATATATATATATATATATATATATATATATATATATATATATATATATATATATATATATGTGTGTGTGTGTGTGTGTGTGTGTGTGTGTGTGTGTGTGTGTGGGGTGTGTGTGTGTGTGTGTGTGTGTGTGTGTGTGTGTGTGTGTGTGTGTGTGTGTGTGTGTGTGTGTGTGTGTGTGTGTGTTTGCCGCGTAAGGGATCGAGGCCGCTTTAGTTTGATGAACAACTAAATTATGGACTTTTATGTAAAGACCCTATGCCACTGTACGCGTATGACTTACGGTGATAATGCCAGGATTAGCACTCGAACTGCATTTAACCCCGGTGCCGCCGCACGATATTTCGTCGCTTTCCATATTGTGAACAGGAGGCCTCTCACTCGTCCAACACCCGACGTACCAGACAGTACATTGAAATACATAGCTGAAGCCACACCCGTGATTTACGACCGCCATGGGATCATTTTATAATAGGTCTTACAAATGCTCTGTCAGGTCAAGTTAGATGAGATCAAATCACGTTTTTATCATCGGCACGTTTCCGTTACTTCCGTGAACTAGGCTGGTACAATGCAGAGTATGCCGTCACTGACTTCAAATGGGCAGGAAGAAGTCGCCTGAGATCATTCCATAACAGCCCATGTCTTTTTCTTTGGATGGAATAACGACCTCCAAGTATGGTGGTGGTATTTATGCGCCGTTAATGTATGTTTAGTACTTTGAGGAGTTCTGCAGACTTTTACTTGACATGAACCTGACCAGCTTGAACGCCTGGTTAAAACGGTATGAAGCTCATTGAAATGTGTGGAATGGCTCGACAACCACTTTTCGGAAAAACGGAGCGACTGCACCACTCCCGTCCTCCTCCCTGTGCGCGAGCGGATAAAAAGCATAGGGTTCAGATTTAGATGGATTGCAAAGAAAACGCAGACACATTGCACGGCATTGATCAGCGAATGCTGTCGACTCAATCTGACTCATTACCAACCCGATGCATTAATATGTTTACGTGGCATCGCGGTGGAAGTGGTGTCTACAACATGACATACGCCTCTCAGATGACATCCAGATGAAAGACGGCAGATGAATAGCCACGTTACGCCGGTCCAATATCCCCCACGTGCAGTGCCGCAGCTGAGCCGACCCATCGTTTGCCCTAACGGCTGCGCATAGACGGGGCCTCGCCTCCTCCACGGTGCGCCCGCTCGTGCCGACCCTGGCGAGGTTCACCTGCGGACCCGCCAAGGTCAATAATGCAGCCGGGCGTGTCCACCTGCTGGCTGACCTGTGGCCGTCCCGGGAGCGGCCAGACGGGGAGACGGCCGGCGGCCCGGCCGGCCGCCCCGGTCGCGTGCAACATTGAGGCCGGCCGGCGCCGGCCAGCTCGTCGCCCGCCTGGGCCGTGGGGACAACCGCCTGCAGAATTCAGCCGCTCAGGACGGGTGCCCTCTGCAAATGTGATGTTGATGGGAGGACCCGTCCTCCGGCGGCGTGCGTGGAGGAGTTGGGGGACACGTGGGGGCCGTTTGTTCCTTGTTCGGTTGACTGGTGATCTTCGGAGGTGATCTGTTGGAGCTGTCTCGCGCTGACGCCAGCGGCACGTGCCGGCGGACGCGAGCACGCGCATGTCGGAGACGTGGGCCTGGTAATTCGATACTTGTGCCCCATGGCTAAGCCATGCCTGGCCGGCCGAAAAAATGTTCAAGATTTGAAGAGCGCCCGGAAGTCAGAGGAGAGCGAGAGCTGGACGCGACCGTGAACCGCAAATGCGAGTTGGGAGAAAACAAAAAGTAGCATCAGTATGGGGAAAGGCTTCCTTAATAACTGATTTTACCCTCACCCGCGCTCTTTGGCTGTGGTGTTACTGTTTCCTCTTTGATGATTTATTGACCAGTGTAGCGCCTCGTGCCCAGTGCCGTTGTCATGTCTTACCATGCGTGACGCCCCCAGATCAATGAGCTCACTCCTGACGTTCGTCACGCTGACCCCATTCCCTATGGCACCGAAATCAGGTAATTACACGCAGGGCAGCATATCGATTGATTGTGAGGACATGAAAAAACATTAAGATTAATTTCGTGCGACCATGAGGATGAGATCACCAGCAAGGTGATCCCCCGAGACAGAGTCGACCGATTCTGGCATTATTAGCGTGCATTGCCCCCCGGCATTATTACGTGTTGCAAACGGTATGCCTTTATGCATTACACTCGTCGAACTTATGGAACACTGAAAGCGCCAAGAGAAGTCGTCGTCAGGGAAACGCACAGTTCCGACATTCGTCAAGTGCCAAGACGAGTCTTGAGCCGGCACCTGTGTCTTGAACCGGCACCTGTGTTGGTCCTCACCCGACTACAGCACTTTCACCAGCCGTCATCCGCCCTCCGCCCCCCCCCCCCCCTCCCCCTCACAGTGGCGAGATTTAGATGGCATCTGTCAGTCTTCACCCGGCTGCAGCACTTTCACCAGCCGTCATCCGCCCCCCCCCCCCCCCTGACAGAAGCGAGTCTTTGGCCGGCACCTGTGTCTTGGGCCGGCACCTGTGTCTTGGGCCGGCACCCGTGTCTTGGGCCGGCACCTGTGTCGGTCCTCATCCGACTGCAGCGCTCTCACCAGCCGACGTCTCCCCACAGTGTCCATCCACGCGGTGGGAGGCGCCTACATAAAGGGCTTCATGATCCAGGCGCGTGACCCGGCCACGGGGCGCGCCGCGCGCGACCAGGGCAAGTGGCGGGAGGTGGAAAACGTGAAGCAGCTGCCCGAGTGTGCTGCCGTCACGCACGGCGATCGGAACAAGAAGACCAGCATCGCCGTCACCTGGGAGGGACGCGGCGATGTGGCTATCTAGTGAGTACGGTCTGGGACATCACTAGGGTCGGAATACGGGCATTACCCTCGTGGTGTGGCCATCTAGTGAGTACAGTCTGGGACATGACTAGGGTCGGAAGACGGGCATTACCCTCGTGGTGTGGCCATCTGGTGGGTACAGTCTGGGACATGACTAGGGTCGGAATACGGGCATTACCCTCGTGATGTGGCCATCTGGTGAGTACAGTCTGGGACATGACTAGGGTCGGAATACGGGCATTACCCTCATGATGTGGCCATCTAGTGAGTACAGTCTGGGACATGACTAGGGTCGGAATACGGGCATTACCCTCATGATGTGGCCATCTAGTGAGTACAGTCTGGGACATGACTAGGGTCGGAAGACGGGCATTACCCTCGTGATGTGGCCATCTGGTGAGTACAGTCTGGGACATGACTAGGGTCGGAATACGGGCATTACCCTCGTGATGTGGCCATCTGGTGAGTACAGTCTGGGACATGACTAGGGTCGGAATACGGGCATTACCCTCGTGATGTGGCCATCTGGTGAGTACAGTCTGGGATATGACTAGGGTCGGAATACGGGCATTACCCTCATGATGTGGCCATCTAGTGAGTACAGTCTGGGACATGACTAGGGTCGGAAGACGGGCATCACCGTCACCTGGGAAGGACACGAGGATGCGGCCACTCAGTGAGTATACAGTCAGGGGTGTGGAAAAGAAGAGAATACGCAATCGGGCGATCTGTCAGGGCATGGATACCAAGTGAACGCCCGTTTCGCGAGTTTTCACCGAGCTTGGGGAAAAAGTCGCGGCCCCGATCTGGAAGGTGTCAAGAATGTGCTTAACATAAGCGATCAAGGTTTGCCTGATTTGAAAATGACCGGTTTTCTTTACACCAGGCGGTGCTGGGAATGACGATATCATACGGTTATTAGCCATAGTTTGTCTTAGAAAACTTAACATTCCAACTCGGCGCTCATTATCCCGAGTTTACAAGGCGGTGGCCGTGACCTGCCCTGACACACCGCTTTAAAACGTCAAGGCACCTCACAATATGAATAGATTATTACTCAAAATAACATCATACAATCAGCACTTAAGTTACTGTCCTGAAAAAATAGGCATGTCTAAAGGACCAGGAGAAGTTAAATGTTAAAGTCACTCGAATCTTGGTGTACTGAAGGTCCGTTATTTTGAACAAACCGATTCTTATTCCGGATGAGGTCTCGATCTCGCCTCTATGTTCGCTTCTCCAGACAACACCCTGAATGGCGACAAGGATTTGTCGAGACTTAAAATGTCTCGAAGTGCTGGAAAATTGGGACACGATATCCTCGTAAATACGATGCCCTTACCAGCGCGTGTTCCGCCAATGGCTGACAAGGCGCGCTTTCTATCGAATGAAAGATTACACACCACCAGCGCGCAAGAAATAATAGTCGGATAATGACAGATGACCACACGACGTTATTAATGTCTCAAAAGACACTTTCTGGCTCGGGACACGCTGTAACTCGTTGTTAGCACACGAGAGGCACACAGGGGCGTAGGCAGACTAATAGCCAGCCTCACGTACGGCAGGTGCACACAATTTCTCACAAGTCGTAAAACATATTGCGTGGTCTCGCTGCTTCCATTTTTACGAGTCAACCTGAAATTTTTACTGTCGACATCGATTCACGTAGACATCAATACATGGCAAAAATATTGGCCAGATGGTGGAAGGGGATGGAGTGCCTCCCCCCCCCCCCGGGGTGCTAGGTGTGTGCGCCCCCCCCCCCCCCCCCCCGACACTGCCCAGAGAGTCAACAGCCAAGCGGCATCAAGCTCATTGGAAAATCGAAGGACGGGCTTCGAGAAGCACTGGGTCTGGCGCTTTAAGCGAATTTGGAATTCGTTAGACTGACATGGGGGCGGGGAAAGCAATGAGAAAGCCCCCTCCCCAAAAGTAGAATACCCATTCTCTGAATTCAGCATGGTATGCCCAGCAGCAATGCGCTCGCAGCTTACAGCTGTCTCTGCTTATCAAAATCCACTTTTTCCTATCTTGCTGTATTGGGAATGCAGCAATATGAGAGAAATGCGCGCGAAGAATTGATGATAATCGTTCCTCTGCGTGAAATGTCCGAGTTGGGATAGGAAACGCGGCCTCAGTTGGTCAAACGCTCAAACCGCGCTCTGTCTGTCGTGCAGTTCTCGGAAGTGTGCTGTTGAAGACCAGACATGTGTCTGATTTCTAATGCTAATTCTTGGTTCCCACTTCCTGCCATGTAAACAAGCCTGTGTATCCTGGTTTTGTCTGTTTTCTCATAAACGCCAGCCCCTGGTTCGTGGATGCTTTGGCTGTTTTGCAGATATCCGACTCTGGTCCATGGTTGTCACCAATCCCTTTACAAACACAACATATGGGGCCTTGGTATCCATTGGTTCGTTCATAACACCAGATCTTGGTCCTTGGCTCCCGCTGGCTCTATCACAAACGCCAGTACCTGGTTCCTGGTTCCCACTGGTTCCCTCACAAAAACCAGAGCCTAGTTCCTGGTTACCATTGGTTTTTCCATGTACACCAGATTCTGGTATCCGGTTCCAATTGGTTCGCTCACAAAATTCCAAATCCCAAAGCCCGCTGCTGGCTGGCTCATTCATAAACACGAGCTCAAGCTATAATAACTGGACAATGATATACCATTGCAGATATGTCGCCTGAAAAAGAAGTTTGCTATATAATATCTACTTGTGCAACGTACATGACAAAGTACACCATGTGGACGCGTACAAGTTCCAGGCAATAATTCCAGCCAATATCTTAGTTCTCTTCGATTTCATTAACGGCATATACTGGATCTTCTTTTTGTGCTTTTTTGCACTTTTTCCTAGCACGTGGTCACCATCACTTTATAACTTGAAACAGGGATATTGAGTGAGTGAACATCTGCCACGCGAAATGCTAATTTTGCGGTGAATCATGTACAACTTATAAAACAGGACATGTTTGTTTTACGGTGTGCAAAGCCAGCACGCTTTACTTTGATACAGTTAAGTTGACCAACTTTTCGTCTAAGGCCTGGCCGGCACCAATTGCTCGCCGCAAATACTGTGCCACCACCCGCGCCCTGCGATGGCAGCTGTAGCCCCTACGCCCGTCGCGCCATCTGCCGGTGACCTCCGGTGGGCAGCACCCGCCGCCGTGCCCGCAGGACACAACGGGCACGCGCCGGACGGCAAAAGCTGGTGGACAGTGGCGGGTCGGCCGGCGAAAAATGGCGCGCCACCTACCGCGTCAGGGACCGATCAAATATTCAGCGGCTACGACGGGCCGCGGCGCCGTGACTCTGTCGCCATAGCATCTGACCATGCACACAAGCATTGATTCCGACGCACGGTACCGCCCGGACGACGGCTCATTGTTGGAGGGGGCGATATAACTTCAGCAGCTGGCAGGTGACGGGTCGCGGAGGGGGGGGGGGGGGGGGGCGCAACGGCTTCGTGCGTTCGTGCCAGGTATAGCTAGGCGCTCACTGTTTCACGGCGAACGTGTGGGTACTTGCGAACAGCGTCAACTAGAGTCAAGGTTCGAAAAGCGTTTTGACTTTTATTGGACAACGATAAACTTGCAGATTTTTTGTCGATGATCTATAAACTATCGACAAATTGCACGTAGGACACCCGAAAATATTTCTCACGTGCGTCATATATGGTGAAGTTATTGCATAGCCATTGTTTGAGTTCTATGGAATGAAGCGTGGTGTTTTAGCTTTTTATGTCAATATCCGTCGACAAAAGTCATGATTAAACTTCATCAAATTATTGTAGCCAAAAGGCAATCAAATATCGTATGCTTGAATTCAAGCGAAATCAATCAACTACCATTGGTAAACCCATGCCTTTAAGCCAATTATGGACAAACTTATGAATAACACCAGCATTGAAACGTTCTTTGATATGGTTCCTCTGCTTGGAGACGCAGCGACGAACAAATCTCACGAGTGTATTTCTCAGGGTTGTAGTTTCTCATCAGTTGGGGGAGGGAAGTGGGGATGGGGTCGCGCGCCCCGAACCATGAGAGTAACGTGGGGTAAATCAGCAGAGAAATCAGTGCTCAGGTGCATGTGCAAGGAAACTTGACATATTTTTCACTGCTAAGTCTGCAAACATCTTTTGCGATAATGCATCCGTGACGCGCGCACCCGTGACAAAATAAATAATGCACCCGTGACAAAATAAATAATGCACCCGTGACAAAATAAATAGTGCACCCGTGACAAAATAAATAGTGTAACCGTGACAGAATACATCTTGGAGTGGCGTTCTACGCCATGTAAATGGCGTAAATTATTTTTCCAGCAGTATGTGGTGGTTTCTTGAACTCGAGTCAAGTAGAACACAAAAAGTAGACCCAGACTCGTACCCGTACTGAGCGGACGTGTGACCCGACATGACCCGACCTGTCCACAGCGCCACCGTGCTCCAGTCATACTCCCTGTACTGGGCCAACGTGGAGGCGGTGGAGGAAAAGTCTCTCGGGGGACCCGGCCCGTCCGGGCCCGGGCTCGGAGGCCCGGCGAGGGGCCGCCCCCTGAGGCCGAGACCCAGCCCGGGCTTCTCGCCGAGCTCTCCTGGGTTCTTCCCGAACTCCCAGAGGTTCCCGCCGAACCCCCAGAAGTTCTCGTCGAATCGCCAGAAGTTCTCGCCGAACTCCCAGAGGTTCTCGCCGAACCCCCAGAAGTTCTCGCCGGACTCCCAGAGGTTTTCGCCGAACTCCCAGGGGTTCCCGCCGAGCTCTCAGGGTTTCTTCCGCCCACCGGTGAGTGGCGGCGATCCCGTGACTCTCCGTCTCATCTAGACACTTCATGGTTGAGAAGGTTGTAGCCTGTGGGGCGCTTTGTTTGAGCCATGCACTTTTTTAAAGGTAACCGATGCTCAGAGGTGCGCTTTGCCGTTCACTCGCATGCTTTTTGGACATTTTGGTCTGCGTTAGCCCATCTGTAATTTATATATGTATATATATATATATATATAAATATATATATATATATATATATATATATATATATATGTGTGTGTGTATGTGTGTGTGTGTGTGTACATATATGTATACATATATATATATATATATATATATATATATATATATATATATACATATATGTAAGCGGTGGTATCCTCGACTCCGTTGCGGGGAAGTGTGGTTACTAGGCTAGCACGAGCTTGTTGCCGCCACATGCATTATGGCTCACGCTGAGATGATTTCAGTTCGGCAATCAGAAGTGAGGAGTGCGAAGATAAATCAGCATTATGAAGAAAGGAGAACTACGTAAGACTTCAATGAGGAGAAGCACATCGACAAGAAAAGCAACCTAAAAGATCGCATGCTTCCCACACGCCGCTCACGCCGTAACTGACCTGCACGGCTGGGGCGTACTTATCATATGAGGGTTTTTACGAGGTTTATATGGCGTCATTGAATGACTCTTACGTTTTGGAAAGTGACTGAATGGTGTGTCGAGCCGAAGATGTGTCGCAATAATGTCAACAGTAAGCTGTTTTGTCTCGGAACTTAGTACGCCTCCGGATCATTTCCATGACATCCTCGGGTGAACGTGCTTCGAATATGAATACCCCGATGCGTCTGACATGAAATATATCCCATAATTCAGAGCACATGTGCTGTAGTTGTGAGCGCTCCACTGCTGGCACCAGAATACGGGCAGACCGACCAAAGCCAGTGGAAAGTGAAAGTAGCCACCGACGGGATGACCCACACACCGGACACGTCCAAGCCTGAGCCACAAAACGCATTGTAGAGTTGCTCGCCCGCGCGCCGTTCAGCCGATACGCTCACCTGCTGTTCTGAAGCGGCGCCCAATGACGTCAGCCTTAAGCGAGCACCCAGTGACGTCAGCCGTAGACGAGCGTCCAGTGACGTCATCCCTAGACGAGCGCCCAGTGACGTCAGCCGTAGGCGAGCGTGCTGGGGCGTCAGCCGTAGGCGAGCACCCACTGGCGCCAGCCGTAGACGAGCGTCCAGTGACGTCATCCCTAGACGAGCGTCCAGTGACGTCAGCCGTGGGCGGCGCCCAGTGACGTCACCCGCCGGCGAGCGTCGAGTGACGTTAGCCGTGGACAAGCGTGCAGGGGTATCAGCTGTAGGCGAGCGTCAAGTGGCGCTAGCCGTAGGCGAACGCCAGGTGACGTCAGCTGTAGACTTCACCCCACTTCAACACCAAAATGTTACAGAGCTTGCATTAAGTTCCGCCGATCTTTCCAGTGGGAAACCAGTCACCGTTTCGAACCCGTTTATTGTACTGGACAGCCACATTCGCCAAAGCACATGACAGGTTCAGGCCAGACGCAATTACCTCCGAAAACGGCATCTACGGCGCTAACAACGCTACAACAATGTATACTTTCGTAACACACGCAAACGCATGCCACCTGTGCACTCGCAAATGGTCATACGCTTTAGTTTCAATACGTCAATATTCGTAATATCCGCAATTGCAAAACTGTCAAGTATCGAAAGCACGTATAAATAAATTGACTAGACCATCAGCAAACGCGAAAAGCCGTCGTAACCCTGCCGAGCGGGAGCTTCACTCGCACACCCCGCGGTATATATCATCGTTTTGCCCACGCGTGCTCCACGTACAACGGTATCACCCACCACAGAAGTTGCACGAGTCGGCCCCATTTAATATTCTGGGGTAAAACTGAGAAAAGGGGACATTCGATGACACCCGACAGATCATTGCAGCGACTCGATTACGAAATTCGCACCGCGATTACAGAGCAGTCTACCTCGGTGAAATCACGATGAGGCATAATGATCATCCATATTGAGGACTAACGTGGTAAGCGCATCACATTTGACAAAACCCTACTCGCCATTGCAAACATACGGTCACCAACTCCCTTGGTACAGATAGCTGTCAAACGTTGCCATGACAACGATACAACTGAAATGATGCGCGCGGATATACCAAGTCAGTGAAAATATATCGTAGCCAGCGTCCGTTTCACGGTCGTCTCCAAGCATCCTACAATTCAAAATATTGGACAGTGTCCAAATGGTGATGGTCCAGGGGAGAGCCGACCATGCAGGCAACAGATGACGTGAAAAATCGCTCAAAATGAGGGTTCAAAAAACACTAAACATGCTTAATAGCCAAGGCTACTGCACGCCAGAACGCTTTAAACATTTATCAATGAACCCTACCCGATGCCGCGCAACCTCCATCTCCATATGTATATCCGTGCATGGATATTAGATATGCAACGATCCTCAGGCATGTTTGCTGCCAGATATGTTCAGTGATATGGCACGTTGATCACATTCAGAAAATCTGTCTCGTTTTCCACGACAGACCAGCCTGACTGCGCACGATCTCAGCCAGTGACCAGCGCCCGACGGTACTGCACAGGTCCACCAAATGTTTGGATTCACAGCAAACATTCTAAACCGCTGAATACATGTCTAGAAACCGGGCCCGCAACTAGAAAAATATGTTTCAGTTGAGTAAATTTACGGCCATTAGGTCTCGATAATCCAATGCCATTTTTCAGCCTAACACACCTAACTCGTGCAACCGTATAAATGTCATGCGCCTCGCTGACGAAGTTATTGGAATAAATAATACAAAACGAGAATGACTTAAGCAAGCTAAGGGAACAAGGACGTGTATAATGCCAGCAAACTGGCATTCGTTTTACAAGGAGTGCTATTTGTTCTTGTCGTGCATAACTACCCAATTCCTTTCAAGATTTTCGCTGCTCGCAATCTGATCAGCAAGAGGCGTCATATTTATGCGATCGCACGATGATATTTGACCACGTTGAACACGAACATGTCCAAACATAAACTGTGACTGTGATTAAAGCCCTATGGCCGAAAGCAAGCCATCTACTCAATCGAATATATCTTTACTAGTTACGCGACCACGGATTTCCATTGTGTTCACTTACGTTTGATTTACTTCCGGCGACGCAACAGCATATCAGTGTGCCGGTCTAAATGAGCGCAACCATAACAAAAACCGTGCCACACGTCCGCAACGGCGCACACGAAAGCGCTGGGCACTAATGCCCGTTACAAATCACCTGAAAAGTTGCTAATGCCTGAGACAAACAAAGAACGCTACGTCTCCGCACCAACGACGCCCCAAACACGGCGGCGCGCCGGCGGATACGCCCCGCATGCATGAATCGCCATGGCGCAACTGCAAGCATGTTTACGCAAGCAGACCTGAGCCTCGGAGCCCTCCCGCCGGGGGAGCTCCGGACATACAATGAGAGATGGACTGCCGACAGTCCACGCTGAGCAGCCCTGCCGCCCGCCCGTGCCTGCAAGCAGCCACGGACGAGACTGTCGCGACTAGAACGTCCGCGCCCCACATTGAGCAAGACTTAGGAAGACAAAACGATTGCACGTGCGCGAGAAAGACTAGGTCAATCCAGGTCATCAAAATGGACGACAAAACTATTGAAGCGCGCCGCTGCCGGCCCCGCGCAGGGCGTCATGACGCAGCCAGCCGTGATATCAGCGTGCACGCGCCCCCGGGGCATGCGCCGCGGCGGCTGGCCGGAGTCACCAGGTCAGCCGGCCGGCCAGGTCAGGCCGGGTCAGGCACGCCGCGGCTACCGACAGAACCTGCAACACGGGGCGCGCCGGTCAGGCGCGCCGGCCGCTGGCGGCCAGCAAGGGGAAGGGGCGGGGGACGCGCCGCGTGCAGGCGAGGCAGCAAGTGACAACACCCGAGACGGGCGCATCGACCAAGCCGGCGGGCTCCAGTCTCGATAGTCAGGGAATAGCGGACTGAGAGGCAGGAGCTAGGAGCAGTCACGCCCCGCTTTGGAAAACATTAACACCGTTCCGCAGGGTGGCATAGAGACTTCAGGCTCGAACATGGCGCACGACGGCGTCAGCTGGCGCCGCGCTCGCTGTCCGACCGCCCGAGGTCGGGCTGTCGGGGGCGCTGGTGGGGGAGTTCACCAGATCGGCCGACAAATCATGGACACCAGGGTGTAGCAGGGTTCTTTCTAGAAGAAAACAAACTTGAGTAGACAGGGAGACACACCAAGGACGTAGCCGACTCCAAGTACGGGCTCGCGTAACTGCCCCAAAAGTCCGATTGCTCCGCGGATTTAGGCCACTTTATTCTCGCGTTCAGATAAAGACGACAAAAAGCTGCAGTGACCTGGCCGCAGCATACCATGGGGCTACACCAGAGTAGACAGCTGTGAGCGAGTGGGGGAGACACCAGGCCGGTTGTTATTTCCCCGCACATAAATTAATAAAGACCCTGGGTGCAGTTTACTGATATGATTATCCAGATCATGTATTTAACGACATATCGTAAGCAGTATACTTAAGAGGTCATATGATAAAACAAGCATGGCCAGGTGGGGGCAAGAACAAAGATCGACAGCCGAGAAACTGTATCAGGCCGAACTAGAACGAAAAAGACTGCACTTTTGCAGAACGGCAACACTGAGAAATGGGGTGAAAGGGCAAACGGGGGCATATAATCCTAAAAAAAACATGCGTTTTAAGGGACTAGCATAACAGACGTAAAATGTGAAGCCTCATGTCAAGCTCTATGCCAGCAAAGTCCGTACGGAACGAACATTACGTTACGAAGCTGTAACCCAACATGAGCGCCGACAGTCATGCTAGTAGGTGTCAGATTTGAGGCCCCAACAAGAAGTTCTTGGCCTTTAAGGTCCGAACGACAAAAGGTTCTTGGTCTTTAAGGTCCAGACAACAAAAGGTTCCTGACCTCTAAGGTCCGAACAACAATAAGTTCTTGACCATTCAATGTCCGAACATAAGTAGGTGTTGCCTATTTATGTTCGGACCTTGACACACTGTTACTCGGATCAAAGGCTGTAATTTTCAACGCTGAATCCAGTAAAATTGCTCTTGGCGAGTCGCGTTTCCACTTAATGGGCTCCTGTCCCATCACAGAAATGGTTGGGCGGATTCGAGGAAGGCCAATGGAGCTCAGACTCCTCCGAACACGGCGAGAATAGCACGATTTCACCCCTAGCGCTAGAAGATGGGTAACATAATTTCGATCAGGACCAAAGCTTCGCGTGTCGGACACGAAGACATTCCTAAAGCTAGAGGTTCCAATTGGTACCAGCCTTTTTGACTGACAAACCATGCGTTATGAAAGCAACGCAGACGCAACAGCAAATCTCGCGGGAACCCCCTTGACACACCCCTACTCGACAATTGACCACGGACAACGAAAAGCCCTCGCTTTTCCAGCATGTCCGTGGGCCAACAGGCATCACATTACTCATTACAGCAGCCCCCTGGGAACAATCACCCTAACGCCGTGGAACATCGGCCGGGCCAGCCCGATGACCCGCGGCAGCCAGGCCACCCCGCACAAGCCCGGGCCGCATGAGCCTGCAGCCGGCTCGACAGGGCTTAGTTCCGGATATTCGAAGTTTGCCAGACCCGCGCCACCGGCAGCTGCACACCAGACGCATCACACCACTGCCAGCACGCTGCCACCGCCAGCGCCCTCAGCGCCGGCACGACACAGCTTGGCGCCGGCCGGCTGCAGGACGGGCATGGACGGTGTCTCTCAGAACGGCGCCGTGCGGGCGGGGACGGGGCAGCGCGAGCCGGGACC